TGCTTGGCTAAAAAATAAATATAAATAAAGTATTTTAAAAATAAAAAGCTTGTCAAGGTATACTGAAATCATGCTTTCCTTTTCTCTCTGGACAAAAGTTCCTTAAGCAAAGATTAATAATGTCATCTCATAGATTTGAGATGTCTTCCAAGGTACTAACTACACATTCAGAAAAGCAGATGGATTACTTTCATTTACCACTAGATGTCACAGCAAAAACACAGAATGATTGGCAATAGTGGAAACACTGAATGTGAAAATCAGAAGCAGAAATGCAACATGTATTTAGTTACTCTAATTTTGTAAATAATTATTTCTTTTTTATTATTTTTATTTTATGTGCACGAGTGTATTGCCTGCATGAATGTGAGTGCACCCGTGTCGTGCAATGCTGCAGAAGTCAGAAGGTTTCGGATTCCCCTAGAACTGGAGTTAAGGACGGTTCGTAGCCGCCATGTGGGTGCTGGGAATCAAACCCGGGTCCTCTGCAAGAGCAGTCAGTGCTCTTAACTACTGAGCCAGCTCTCCAGCCCATAAAGAATTATTTCTAAGTTGGGCTTGGTGGCTCATGCCTGTAATTTTGTGGCTCAGGAGACTGAGGTAGGAGGAACAATACAAGTTTGAGACCAGCCTGGTCTACATATAAAGTTGAGATCAGTCAGGGCTACATGGTGGGGCATTGTTTCAAAAACTGTAGGAAAATATTAAACTTCAGCAGGAAGCCAGGCATTGGCCATGGCACACACTCTCATAGGACTGATCCCAGCAGGGCAGGAATTTGTCTTTGAGCTATTTTGTACATTCCTTAATTGAAGACAAATACACATGTTTCAGGAATCTTGACTAACTTCAACCAGTGGAAAATCAGTTTTGCCTTCATTTGCAATTCAATCACTTTGCTGTGGATAAATTCAGGTTTATTGGCTTTTCCTTTGAACTCATCATAGCTGGGGTTATAGCTAAGTGATGGAATGCTTGCCCAGTAAGTATGAGACCCTGGGTTCAATCTCTAATATCAAAAAGAAAAGAGAAAGAAGGAAAGAAAGATAACAGGTACAGCCAGGCATGGTGGTGTACTGGTGCAGACTTGTTATCCCCGCATTACTCTCAACCTCTATCTCACCTAGCATCCCCATAACTATTAGACAAAACTCTTCGAATACACCCCTAACCTGAGGGACCCCCAGCCTCTACAAGTTCTGAAACTAATAATCCCATAACACAGGAATCCTGTCTTGCTGTAGCCTGCCTAACTGATGACCCATCGATATCTTTTGTAAAGACACTGAATATGCTGATTGACGATTTTCTTTTGTTCTGTGACTATAAAAGCTCATATAATATCTCCCATGATGGAGCAAGTCATTCAGGGTTAACTGAATCTATACTCTGGGGCCATCCACAGTCACTCATATTTGGCTTAGGATGAACCATTTTCTTATTTCCTCCCTCCCTCCTTCCATCCCTCCCTCCATCCCTCCCTTCCTTATATTTCGTCTATTTTGCCAATTCTGCCTCTGAACTCCTAGTATCAGGAGACTCAGCACTGGGGTAGCTGGAACTAGAGTCGTCTTCATATTCCAGTTTCTAGTGGAAATGGGTTTATCATAAATAGTCTGCCTGGCACAGATAACTCTTTGATGTCCTAAAATTACCACTGCTGCTTCTGAAACACTGACCAGTTTGGTTTGTCATTTGTTTTCAGTAGGAGGAACAGTTCTTTATCTCTATCTGTGTGACAATTTCAAACATTATTTTGTTTTTATTTATGGGTTTGTGGTATATGCCCACGTACCTGCAGTTGACTGTGGAGACTAGAAAAGAATGTCAGGTCACTCTGTGCTGGAGTTACAGGCAGTTGCGAGCCATCTGATGTGGGAATTGGACTCCTGGCCTCTGCAAAAGCAGCAAGCACTCTTAACTGCTGAGCTATCTCTCCAGCCCCCTGTGAGTATTTATTTATTATTAATTGATTAATTAATTAATTTGATTTATTTGTCTTTTTGAGACAGGGTCTCCCTGTAGCCCCAGCTGTCCTGGAACTCACTATGTAGACCAGGCTGGCCTTGAACTCACAGAGATCAGTCTGCCTCTGCCTCCCAAGTGCTGGGACTACAGGCGTGTGCCACCACGCCCAGCCTATTTTTTATTTTTTAAAAATATTTTATTTATTATTTTATGTATATGAGTGTAGTGCCTGCATGTAGGTAAATGTACCCGTGTTGTGCAATGCCTGCAGAGAACAGAAGAGTCTGTCGGAGCCCTGGAACTAGCATTACAGGCAGTTGTTAGCTGCCATGTGATGCTGGGAATCGAACCTAGGTCTTCTGCTAGAATAGTCAGTGTTCTTAACTGCTGAGCCATCTCTCCAGCCCCCTCGCTGTGACTATTTTAATGCAAAGCCTTTGATGAATTGTAGAGATTTTGTCATGGTTCTTAAGATGATTCTACTGCATTGGAAAAAGTGTTGGCAGTTGCTTAAAAATTTAAACTTGAAGCTACCACACAACTCAGCTGTTCCATTGCTGGGGTGCTGAATTATATCTCAAATTATCTACAGGCTTAAATGATGCATTGTGGGTGGCTTTTGCTTGAGATGGATATGAGAGTCACTTCAACTTTTTCAAGCAATATCCAGACTTAAAGGACCAGAGTATCTTAGGATGAGTCACATGTGTAGTCTAACAAATTTTACTAATGATAATTACAGACACACACACACACACACACACACACACACACACACACCTTTCAGTACCATAGTTTCATATGATCACACTGATGATCATACTCAGTTTCTTGGACTGAACCAACTTCTATATATGGGAGAGAAGAAATTCAAGATACTTATGAAATAGAGTTCATAATACTTAAAAGCTGACTATCTTATGAATATTTTAAATTTAAATAAAACTTGAGAGATTAGAATTAAGACGAATGACATGAAACTGCCAATATTCTACCATTTTGATTTATGAAAATGACAATGTTATAAATGAATATAAAACATTCATAGTCATAGAATATAAATGCAATAATATTACGATCTTGTCTCCCTTGCAATTGTGGTGGTTTGAATGAGAATGTCCCCCATGGGTTCCAAGCATTTGAACACTTTGTCCCCAGTTAGTGGCACTGTTTGTGGAAGTTTCAGGAGGTGCCTTGCTGGAGGAAGCACATCACTTTAGAGGGCTTTGAGAGTTCTTAAGCCTTGCCCCATTTCCAGTCTCTCTCTCTCTGCTTCCTGTGTCTGCTTGAAGATGTGAATGCTCAGCTTTCTGCTCTGGCCTCCCTGCCATGATGGACTTTTACCCTCTGGAACCATAAGCCAAATAAACTCTTTATTCTGTAAGTTACCTTGGTCATGGTGTTTTATCACAGCAACAGAAACATAACACACTTATCTTGCTCCTTTCTCTTTTTCTTTTCATTACTGAATGATTTAAAAACACATCTTGGACCTTAATTCATTATACACCTATTTACTTGGCATATTCTTTGAAAAAAAAAAATCAGCATTTTCTTAACCACTGAGACATTTCTCCAGCCTCCAAATCAATGAGCATTTTTTTATATAACTGCAAATGTCATTACCACAATTAATAATAATTCTTTGGTATCAGCTTAACTAGTCCATATTCATCTTTCTCTTTAATTTTTATATCTTTTTAAATATTTTATTATTTTTTTTATGTGTATGCATATATTGCCTGCTTGTGGGTAAATGCACCCATGTCTTGCAATGCCCGCGGAGGACAGAAGAGGCCGTCAGAAACCCTGGAACTGGAGTTACGGACAGTTGTTAGCTGCCATGTGGGTGCTGGGATTCAAACCCGGGTCTTTTGCAAGAACATTCAGTGTTCTTAACCGCTGAGCCATCTCTCCAGCCCCAATTTTTATATTATTAAACAAAAGTTATAGGAGGCCATTATTGCTTTGGGCTAAGCTCCTGAAGAGATCAGGCTAAAAATCAAAATGGAACTACTCATGCTAAAGTTCATATCACTAACTAAGCTGTTTAGCTGACTGTACAAAAAATGAACAGAGACCAGGATTAGAGAGTTAATAGACAAATTTTCTAAACAAGCTAGTTCCAACTGGTATGACATGAAATTCCTTTTGTCTTACTCCTTTAACAAAAGAGAACCTAAAATAGCCTGATGTTAATATACCAGTTATTTTTCTGCTCTGTCCCCATTCCCTTACTAGGAAGCTAACTTTGAAATGAGCAGTCTACTATTCCTGCTTTCTTCTGTCCTTTCTGTCTATTAAGTCAACTCCCCCTCCTAGGCCCCCCAGAACACTCACATTCTGTAGAACGAAATGTTGCCCAATTCTGAAGTAAAAAATACAGCAACAAAAAATTTCAAACGAAGCTTTTGTAGTTTTGTCTTTCGAAGACATTTGGGTAGACGGGGCAGAGTGCCTAAGAAGGGGCACATCCTGTCCTTCAGTGGTTATGGGTCTGGGGACTTGTCACCAGAGTAGCCCCTCTTCCTGCTGCGTCCTGCCTGCTTCCCAGCTGAAGCTGGCTCTGTTCGCCATCCTGCATTTGTTTGCTTTTTTCCATGACATTTTACCTGCTCTTCAGTCAGCTGTATTTTGATAAACCAGAGATCATAGAACCTGCACTTTCAGTCACTGTAATAGTCTTTGTTAAACAAAAACAAAACAGACCAAGACCAAACCCCCCTGTACTTTGGTATGGCAGAGCTGGGCACGCTGGGCCCCCTGATCTTGGGTAGGTTACTAAACCTATCACCACCTCCGCTTTCTCATTTATAAAATATGAAAACTCAAATACAAGTTGAGAGTTTTTGTGAACATGAAAAAGATTGAGACTATATGATGACTGAGCTGTGGGCATGCAGCAGCTCAGAGAACAGAAGTTCTGGCCAGTGACAGATTCCTTCAGCTTACAAAACAGAACCACTCATTATACTAAAATACTTCACAGAATATACACAACAATTTGTCAGTATGTGATAAGCAATACCTACAGCAGAAGTGGCGAATCCAAGGATTTTTGAAGAACAAATTGTCTTTAGGGATTTTGCTCTACTGCCAAGGGAGCAGAGTCTCCTCTGGGCCAAAAACATGCTAGAGGAGAAAAGAAACATCAAAGGGAGTAAATATGAGTTAGTTACAACACTATGGACACTTGTACATAGCTGATAGGCCCTAAGCTTATACAATATATAAATACACATTACAGATTTTTCAGTTACATTTATTTGTTATGTATATGTGTGCATATGTGCATGTATTGTGGTGTGTGTGGAGACCAGAAAACAGCTCCGGGTTCAGCACTCAGCACCAAAAAAAAAAAAAAAAAGGTAGAATATAAAGTCCTTTTCTTATCAATAAAATGTCACCCTTAAATGACTCATGCCATGGCACACATGGGGAGGTCAGAAGACAACTTTGTGGAATGGGTTCTCTTCTTCCACCCTTACATGGATACTGGGGATTAAATTCAAGTCATTAGGCTTGCCAACTAAGTACCTTCACCTGCTGAGCCATCTCTGTAGCATAAGTGGGCTATTTATGAAAAGAATTCTCCCATGGACTGGGCATGATGGCATATACCTTTGATCCCAGCACTCGGGAGGCTAGCAGATCTCTGTGTGATTGAGGCCAGCCTGGCCTACGTAGTGAGTTCCAGGCCTGTCTCAAAAAAAAAAAAAAAAAAGTCAAAACCCCACAAACAATCCACCTCAAACAAATAAATAGAACCAACCAAACAAAAAGAAATTCTTTTATGAAAAATCAATTCTTTGCGTAAATAGTTACTTCTTACAGTTTATGTATTTCAAGTCTAAGACTAGGTTTTCTTAAATATAGACCTGCTTTCTTTAAAATAAAATTCTTATTTTTATTTTATGTGTATGAGTGTATTGCCTGCATGTATGTAGGTGCACCCATGTTGTGTGAGGCCCAAAGAGGTCAGAAGAAGGCGTCGGTTGTTAGCTGCCATGAGGGTGCTGGGAACCTAACCCAGGTCCTCTGCAAGAACAGTCAGTTCTCTTAACCACTGAGCCATCTCTGCAGCCCCCATACTTACTGCTATAATACTGACTGTTCTGTTCTGGAAAAAGATAGTGACCAGATAAGGCTGTGGGGATAGTTTTAAAGAAAATTACTAGCAATGAGTCAGTACCATACTGAACAATTACCAGTATTACAGTTTTTTGATGTAGAACAATAACTTTTTTCACTAAACATTCACCCACTTAAGTTCAGAGTGATTTCTTAGGCAGCTAAACAAAGCACAAAGGAAAGGCTTTCTTCCGCTTGCAAACAGACAAATGAGGTAAACGTATTGTAACTTGTGATAAATAGTTAAGACTCCTGGATCCTCATCTTCATGTTCAGAGCAGGAGTCTATCCTTGGACAAGTCACCTGACTCTTGCTGAACCGATGTTATCTATTTTCTTTTTTCCAAATAAATGCATAAATGAATCCTCTGCCTCACTGATGCTGCCTGTAGTTTTCAGAACAGATCAGTCAGTGAGCACTGGCTGCAAGGCAATCGCAGTAGACACTGTTAAACCACTGTAGTCCTAAGGGAGCTCAGGCTGCCCTACGGTGGAGACTTTGTCCCGGTGTGGTGCATCACGTCTTCTAACCATCAGGTCTTTGTACCCATATTCCCAGGGAAATGCCACAAAATCTTCCCGGGAGTTCCAAAGCCTCCCCCAACTCCCCATGTCCGTCTATAGCCATGACCATGACCCTGCGATGCAATGTGCTTCCTGGTAACTGACCAGGCACCTCATTTTCCTTCTTGCCAAGCCTTCTACTGTCTGTGGGAACAGTTGCACCGCCATCAGCACATTCCGTGCATTCACTTCAGCCTCCCCGATGAGATGACAGCCCTTCCTGGTTCCTCAGTGCTGACTTTCGTTCTTACCCACTCCACATTCTTTTTGTGTGACCTCTCACACTTATCAGTTATTTGTGGCGAGAACACCTAAAATCTACTAGCAATTTTCAAGTGACAATACGCTGTTATCCCTAATCACCCTGTTGGATTGTTTGCCTCTTTTTTGTTATTTTGCCATTGCCAGACTATTCTCTCATCTCCTCACTGACATGATCACGACTCCCCATCAATCATTGGGAAGTTGCCACTAGGTAATGGTTTTCTTCTCAACCCTAAGTACAGTGATCACCCTAAGGTAACTCCAGTGCCTTCAGAGATGACCCATCAAATGGACCCTTCTGTGTCATCGCTTCTGTCCTCTATCCTGCCTCAGTCACTGTCTCCTATAGTCATGCCCTGCAGTTTGCCATTACCCCAAACTGGTCTAATTCCAAAACCACTGATGGAAGCGTTCTGCTCCTTGATCGTAATTTACTCATTCTTCTAATTTGCTTAGTTAGCCCATCTTGCAGTGTTCTCCAGTCTCATCAACATCTCCCAGAAGCTGCCTCTCCCATACCCACCAGCCTTAGCTTCCTTTATCTTTCAGTTAAATGACAGTTCCACCACATCAGCAAAGTGCTTGACAACACTAAGCCCTTTCCTCTGCTTTTCCATTAGTTTTGAAAGTCTAGCACTGGTTGGATTCCGGGATGGTATTTATTTTCTATGGTCCATCCCGCTGTGGACTGTTGGAGGATATAAAGGATAGGTAGAGCTGATTTCACTACAAATTCATGGTCCATCACTGGAACAAATCATCTGAGGAAATCAACTTAAAGGAGGGAAGGTTTAATTTGGCACATGGTTTTAGTTCAATGTAGTCTGGCTCTACTGCTGGGCCTGAGTGGAGGCAGAATATCATGGCAGTGGAATTTGTGGGTGAGCAGGCTACTCATGTTATAGACATCAGAAAATTAAGAAAGGAAGAGAGAGGAAGGAGGCAGGGACAAATCCCTTCAAAGTCATGTTCCCCCACCAGTGATCTACTTCCTTCAATGAGGCCCCGCCCCTAAAGAGCCCCTTAAGCTATGAACTCATCACTGAAGAGGTTAGAGTCCCAGTGATCCAAGTTATATCCCACCTCAGAACTCTATTGCCTTAGAGAACCAACATTCAACACAGGAGCCTATGGGAACATTCCAGATCCAAATTGTAAGAATCATCAATCTCAAATTGATCTCAGTGTTATCTCTATTTGTAGGCAGTACTTTCCACTGGCAGCCCAAATACTCTAACTGGAGCATCTACCATCTTATGTCTAAGCAGACAACTTTGCTTCCTGTCACAGGGAAAGTAGAAGCCATCAACCTGCCCAGCTTTAATTAGAATAATGAAAATGAGCTTCATACAAAAGGAGTCCCTCCTCCCACTGGACACAGTCTCCTCTCTCCTTGGTTTTATTAGTGACTTTTCAACTTGATGAGACTGTGAAAGTGATATGCATTTAAGCAGAAATTGTATATCTCTTTTCCTAAGCTAGGGATGTGTATTCCTAGGCAGCAGAGGTCACCCCAAATCAATCCCATCATGAGAAGGGAAAACAACCTATACTCTATAATATATAATGTTGCCAACAATGAGGCTGGATAGGGTAGGTGCATTAAATAAATATTTAGATTAATGAGATTTCAACTTAAGATGGATTTATCAAGACATTAACTGTACTTTGAGCCAAGGAGGATCAGAATTCAGATCTCATAGCCTCTGACCTCTGGCAGAGAACTTGGTCCACTAGTAGCCTTTCCTGGGTTTTCAAAAATCTTTGTTGGTGCTTCTTACAGTTCAAACAACAAAAAGTAAACCCACAGAACCACAAATAAACACATAAAAGTCTCTCCTCTCTAGCTCATTTTACCAATGTCTCCTTTTTCTCAGTCTGGTGCAATCTGACTTTTGCACCCATGGCTTTACAGAGACATGCTTTTCAGCGCTCTTGCTGAAGTCAGTTTTGACCTTCACATTGTTAAATCTAATAGACATTTTGCAATTCTCACCTTTCTTGCACACTGGGAAACTTAAGACGCTTCCAGGGAAGCCCACTCTCCTTCCAGGAATACCATGTTCCTTCTGCTTGATACCCTGCAATTCCTCATTCCCTGCCCTCGCCTCTCCCATCTACCATTAAATGCTGAAGCTCCACAACCCTCAGGCTGGACTTTTCTCACGCTTCACTCTCTCACTAGATAGTCTCCTGTGGAGGAGCTGTGGGGGCACTTGTGAAAATGCTCCCCCACCATTTGTTCCTTTAAAGGACTGTTTATATTCTTTCAACTTAGTTTCAAATAAGGTCTAGCAAAAAAACAAAGAACCATTCATTGAGTAACTCCCATTCTTTATAGGTGACCTAGATAAACTTTTCTCATTAGAATATTGTGCCCTACCAGAGGTATCTTTGTATATTTTTATTTTCTTAACATTTGATATATGTCTGGGTATGATCAAGAATGTGCCTATTTGGACACATGATGGTGAGTCTTTCCTATACAGTTGCTTCTATGAAAGCCCTGGAAAGTGCTTTCTCTCTCTCTCGTTCTCTCTCTCTCTTTCTCTTTCTCAAACCCAGGGCCCTGAACATGCTAGGCAAGCTCTTTCCCTCTTACCCACATCCTTCTATCTTAATTTGAGGTGTAGTCAGGCTAAATGTCTAGGCTAGTCTTCCTAAGTATCCCCAGGCTAGCCCTGAATTTAGGATACTCTGGTCTTGGTATTTCAGGTAGCTGGGATTATAGGCGCATGCTGCCATACCCAGTCTCCCGGGTTTTTGTTTGGGAGAAGCACTGTTTTGAGTATCATCTACAGTGTGCTCACAACTTGCTACAAGTAATCTTTCTCTATTAAAAGAGAATCTCCTAGTTGGTTTATTGGCTACAGGCTCACCAAGGGATGAACCCACTGTATTCAGTTACAGATTCTAAGCCTTTGAAGCAAGCTAGCTTTCTTCAACTGGTCTAAAACTCAATTCATAGCTGAGGACGACCTTGAATTCCTGATCCTCTTACCTCCACCTCCCAAGTGCTGAGATTTCAGGCCTCTTCCATGGTTTTTGCTCTTTAAAAAAATGTTTTGCTGGCTGGGTGTGGTGGTGCACACACCACCTTTAATCCCAGCACTCGAGAGGCAGAGGCAGGAGGATCTCTGTGAGTTCGAGGCCAACCTGGTCTCTATATCAAATCCAGGCCTGCTGGGGCTACAGGGAGACCCTATCTCAAAAAGACCAAAAAAAAAATGTTTTGTTGCATATCAATAATTACAATAAACTAAATAAACTAGCACATTTGGATGTCATAAAAAGTTGGAAGAAAATCAAAAGGTATATGGCTTTTGAATTTTTTTTTTTTGAGACAGGATCTCATGTAGCCCAAGGTGCCCTTGTCTCCTAGCCACTATGTAGCCAGAGATAGCCTGGAACTCCTGATCTCCTGCCTCTTTCTGTGATTACAGGCAGGACCCATCATACTCAGCTTTGGTATTTAATTCTAATTTTTCCAGTTTTCCTCTAAGCACAAGGCTCTGTGAAGAAAACCAGGCAAATGTGAGTCAGGATGATCTAGCCAATCTAATGGCACCCTGCATATCAACTCCATGCTCAGATACAATCAACAGAAAATCAAATTGCCCATTTCTCATCCCTGGAGTAGATTCATTCAGATGTGCCTGGCTGGTCTGAAGCTTAGAGGCTGGTGAATTATTGAGGGTGAAATTCGAAGCTCAAAAGCAGGCAAAGCAGTCAAAAACAATTTAAAATGTTTAATGTTTAGTACTCTGAACTTACATTCAGACTAGCAAGTTACAAGTATTTCCCATATGAGGCATGCGTGCATATAGAATAGTTAGAAATAGGGTTAGTGAATTTGACAAAGCCCAGAACTTTTGCACTAAACTGCAAAGTCAAAGAAGATGAACAAGATGAACGCAGACAATTCCCCCCAAAAGACTAACTAACGCTAATGAACACCCCCCCCAGGACAATCTGACCAAGCGCAATTATTTTCACCGCACGTTCTACCTGTTAGTCCGCTTCTAGAAATGTTTGTAAGGTCCACCAGTTGCAACAGATGTTATCTGATAGTTGGTGAATGAAGTACGGAGAGAAACAGTCTCAAGGAAGAGTGGAAGGGAAGAGCAAGAGTGGAAAAACAGCCCAAGTCAGTGCACACAAGATTTAAGAAGCACAATTCAGAGATCACTGAACTGCTATGTGAAAATGGGATTCACATGGAGCAGTTCATAAATTGCTCCAAAGGAAAGCCTTGTGGCCGCCTGGTGCAGGAACTGGGATATAGCACATGAGGCCAAACTTTATTTGCAACTGGGTGGCTGTGGCCTTGGGAGGAATCTTCCCAGAGTCTCCCCTCGGGTGGTGCTCAGGAATCCTCCTGAGGAATGGACGGTTTTACTCACAGTTTACCTGGGGCTCGGATCTCCAGGAATGATCCACCTACGGACACGTTCGTCCTTGTCCTTTGAAAAGTGTGGATTCCACACTCCCGTCTCAAGTTAAGAACCTTTGTTTCCTTTTTAAATCTTAAGCATTCAGTTACCTGGGCATGCGTTGTGGCTCAATAGGTAGAGAGCTTGCTTATGGACCAAATAAATAAAACTCGGAGTGGTGGTACATACCTGTAATCCCAGCACTGGGGAGGTAAAGACTGGAGGATCCAAAGTTCAAGATCGCCCTCAGCAACGTAGCAAATTCGAAGCCAGCCTGGGCTACAAAAATAAGAAAAATCTCGATGGCGGATGAACAGGAGTCAGTGTTACCCTTTCCAGACTGCTTTCTAAATACTTCGCACAAGAGCAAAAGGGACGCAATTCTTACTCCAAAGAAACCCTTGCTAACCCCGAGACCGACCCTCGGCAGTCTCCCCTGCGGTAACCGGACGGATGGCCTGCTGCGTCCTTCTGAGCCCCGCCAACCTCCTTCTACCCCGGGCTGGGCAAACTCCGCGAGTCCCACACCCACTCACCTCGCCTTCCCCGCTTCAGTGCCACCCTGGCTCGGATCCGGTGGTCTCGAGGTGACGTGGGGGCGGAGCCCCGGAGAGACTGACTCTGGGGTCTCGGCCCAAGTGGCAGAAGTAAGCCGCAGGCGAGGTGGAGGGGGCGGGGTGGAGGCGGGCCTGGCTCGGTCCCGGGATTGGCCTTGGTGTCGGGACTGAAGGTACGGGTTGGCTGCGGAGTTCTCCAATCGTGGAGCTGGTGCTGCGGGAGACCCGAGACGGGAGGGAGGGATGGGGCGTGGCCTCGGATGTGCAGCCGCTCGGTGTGGAGCTCGGGATCTCGGCTCAGAGTGGATGTTTGTGACTGGTTGGGGCAAGTTACTGGACCAGGACTGGTTTGGAAGGATGGATAAACTATCACTGGGCTTGGGCACCGCGTGGGTTCCTGTGACGGAGCTGGTGCTGCGGGAGACCCGAGACGGGAGGGAGGGATGGGGCGTGGCCTCGGATGTGCAGCCGCTCGGTGTGGAGCTCGGGATCTCGGCTCAGAGTGGATGTTTGTGACTGGTTGGGGCAAGTTACTGGATCAGGACTGGTTTGGAAGGATGGATAAACTATCGCTGGGCTTGGGCACCGCGTGGGTTCCTGTGATTCTGGAAAATGTTGAAAAGGCAGGTCTTGGACTGTGCAGAAAGGTGCAGATGTTTATGGGTCCCCTGTGATGGGGTGATGAGAGGGAAAAAGGAGGAGAGGAGCTTTACCTTTCGGAACTGTATAATTATGTGGGAACGTAGAATGCCAGGATGTGAGAAACTGAAGAAGGAAAGCTGAATAGGAGGAAAAGGAGGAACTCCTTTAGGGAGGGTGATGTCAGTGAAAGGCGAGCTTCTGTTAAGAGCTGAATTTGGGGTTTAGCTTTTCTTCCTCTTGTTTCCTAAGAAGAGGATTGTGTTAGAGTGGCTGAGCCATGTTACTCACTCCTGGAAGAAAGCAAAACCAGTCTCTGGTTGAATGTCCTGGTTTGAACAGTGAGCTTGTTTTTCTTTTTAAATGAGCTCATTCATGGTCACAGAATGGCCTTATCTGATGTTGGTCTTCTACTGAGGTTTTTATGGTTCCATAAGGGAACACCAGGGTGGGCTCTTTCTTCTTCGTCTTCCTTTTTTTTTTTTTTTTTTTTTTTAAGATAACGTTTCTTCCGTAGCCCCTGGGACTTGACCAGGCTGGCCTGGATCTCACAGAGATCCCCCTGCCAGCCTCCCTAGTGCTGGGATCAAAGGTGTATGTCACCAAGCCCCAGGGCAGTGAGTTCTTAACATCATTAAGTGGCTGTTTGGTTTTCAATGCTAGCAGCTGCGTTTCTTCCCACATTTAACAAAGATGAGTTGAGTGTGTAGATGCCAAAGCCCCTGGGGAGAAAGAAGCCAAGAAAGTTTCTGTCTTAAACCTTATGTTCTAGTGGCGGGCGCGGGGGGCGGGGGAGGAGGAAAGAGAATAAACAGGCAAAAATGGAAAATAATTTCAGAGGATAAGAGAACGTTATAATAAGCACTGTATATCCAGTACTGGGGGATCAAATTCAGGAATCTGTGCGTGCCAATCAAGTACTCTCCTACTGAGGTACACCCCCAGCTCTTAGAGAGTAAGTGTAGTGCCAGAGACATTGACCTGTGGAGAGAGCTAAGAGAAGTTTAAGCCAGCCAATCTGGAAAGGTTTCTTTGAGGTGACATTTGGACCCAGAATTGAATGATAAGATGTCACCTTGATTCTGGAAAGGAAAATGGCTGTTGAGAGCGACTCTACCAAATTACTAGCTAGTATGTGTAGTTGACATGCTTGTTAGATGGAGGAGGCTGCCTCTGTAGAGGGGATCAGTTACACCTTATATCCTATATAGTATTGTGGGGTGCTTCACCAGAGAAGACCACTCAGACAAAGTTTTGCCAAATGAAAGTTTTTGCTGGCCAGGGCAAAAGGTGGTCTGACACAAGGGTGTCAGAACCCAAGTGTGTAGCCCAGAGCCATCTCTAGGGTAAGCTTTTATACAGAGAAACCATAACCAGGGGTGAAAAGTTTAAATTTCCAAGCTTACAAGTGCAAAGCCCCCTTAACAATTTCTCTTCTATTAAGCAACAATTACTATTTTGTGGAAGCAAGCCAAGCACAACCTACAGAAACCATAAATCTACAGTTAGCAGGTGCTCTCCAGGACACTCTGACCTGTTCCCAAGACAACCACTGCCTGATAATTTCAGAGACTAAAGTCAGTCTAAACTTAAACATGGTGTAACTATGGTCAAGAAGGTGCCCTATTACAATATCTTCTCTAAGCTGTTAAGCTCAAGGCTTGTAAACAGCCCCTAAATTTCCATCTAATGCCCTATGTACTACCTTGATTAATCTGCTAAGCCCAGAGACCCTTCCTCCTACACTCAGAGACCCTGTGCCCTCTAAAGTCTGTATATCTGTAAGTTTTCCCTTTCTGTCATTACGGCTGGATCTCCACCTTATGGGGACAGCTTCCCCCATCTTAAGGGACCCTGTTCACCTGAAATCTGTCTCAGTGCATCTCTCTACCAAATGTGGCAAGAACCTTTATTACTGAAAACAGTGCTCATTTGTCTTCTGAATGTAAAGACAATACATCCCTTATGTAGGTAAGACTTTTCCATTGCCTCACATACAGGTCTGAATATATTATGAAATATAGCAGAGAGTGCAGTAAACATCGTGGATTTGTAAACTGCTCATCCCAGCTCTGTAATTTAGAATTTAGAATGGAACCTGGGTGGTTTTGCCTTAAGAGAAAGGGGCTGGAGAGATGGTTCAGCCTTTAAGAATGCCTGGACAGGACTTCTATATTAATACCTGCCCATAGCTCAGGGACCATTGAAGAAGAGGAGCAGAAAGATTGTAAGAACCAGGGTTGGTACATGATCATTAGGAAACAGTCTTCTAGGCCTCTGGGAATTTTCTTATGTAAACTTAAACAGCAATGGTGACAGCATGCACAAGACCCATGCAAACCCAATCAGACAAAAATTCAGCACAGAACTGTGGAAATGGGTATCAGGCTCCAACCTTAGCCAAGGAACTATTGGGAGATGATCACTGCTGGGTGAGGGAGAGTTGATATTCCTTCTTTATTATTATTATCATTATTATTTTGGTATTTTTGAGACAGGGTCTCCAAGTAGCCCCAGCTGGCTTGGAACTCACTATGTAAACCAGGCTGGCTTCAAACTCCTAGAGAGCAGCCTGCCTCTGCCTCCCTGAGTGCTGGGATTAAAGGCATGTGCCACTACACCTGGCGAGAGAGTTGATATTCTTTAAGGGGGAGACTCTAAATAGGCTGTCTAGACTCTAGTGGATGAACTCATATCAAGGGACATCTGGGTACACAAAATTGACTCATTAGGCCTTAACATACATGACATAATGCATGAAAGGGGGCTATAGAGGGTACAGATAGGGAAGGGGGTTCTAAATATGATTAAGATGTATCATATAAAATGCACAAAAAATTCAATAGAACATATACATAGAGGAAAAACAACAAAGAAAGAATGCTTGCTGCTTTTCCAGAGGACCAAAGTTCAGTTCTCAGAACTTACAATGGTCTGTAACTCAGCTCCAGGGGATCAGATATGCCCTTTTCTGGCGTACACATAAATACAAATGAATCTTAAAAACAAAAAGAAAGAGGAACCCTAGGGTAGCCTCCTCCCCACTTCATTTCTTATCCCTTTGCTCTAACTTTAATAAGAAAGTCCATAAATACAAAATACATGGTACGTGGTATGAACACTGCATTTCTAGCTCTGCAGTAACTAGGCTATGACCAAATGATGCCCTTCTTGTTTCTTTGATCTGTGGTTTCCTTGGCAGTTTGACTATAATCTTGGTGGCTACAGCCGTCTTGGCCCACCACGTGGAGCCTACAAGATAATTTGTTTTTTTGAGATCAGGTCTCACTGTGCAACTCAAGCTGGCCTCACTATTTAGACTATGGTCTTGAACTCCCGGAAACACTTCTGCCTCAGCGTCCTGAGTGCTAGGGTTACAGGCATGCACCACTATGCTCAGCATGGAAGTTGAACATAGTACACAGTGCTGGAATGAGAGAGAAGGATGCTGAGCCTGAAACCATGGTATTGCCACTCCAGCACTGTATCAACTACCTATTTTCACATGAGAGAGAAATAGACTTCAATTTTCTTTCACTCCTTTATGCTTCTGGACACACAGTCACAGTGTACCTGTGATGGTTTTCTGACTCTTTGAGTTTCTTTCCCAATATAACACTTTTACCTTGGCCTTCTGGGTGATGATAAATCACAGGAAGAATAAGATGAAAGGTGACAGTATTGCCTTAGTATCTGGAAATACTTCTCAGAAGGTATACATGACTTCTAGGTACTAGGAACAAGAAGGAAAAATGACATTTTCCTTTTCCTTTTAACCCTAGAGCCTTGCTACAAGGGACCTGCTACAGTGAAAGGCAGGTAAGTCAGGGTTGTAAGTTTCTAAAGCCCTTTGACACATTACATTCCCGCTATAAAGAATTATATATAGTTTTCTAGAAAAACAAAACAAAACAGAAGGGAATTATGTAGGATTTTCCTTTGTAACTATTTAAAATGCAGCATTTTGTGTGCCATGTGCACACGTGTATTAGAATATTATAATAATTGAGCTGGGTGTGGTGGTGCATGCCTTTAGTCCCAGCACTCAGGAGACAGAGGTAGGTGGATGTCTGTGAGTTCGAGGACTACATAGTGAGTTCCAGGCCAGCTGGGGCTACAGTAAGACCCTGTCTCAAAAAGACAAAAAAAAAAAACAAAACAAAAAAAAAACTATAATAATTAGTACTTCCTAGCCAGGCAGCAATACATGTACTAACATTAGTTTAAATAAGAGGATTGTACATATCCCCATAGAAAGGCTGCTCAGGATAGCTTTACCTTTCTCATCTGCCTATATGTATTTTCTCTGCATCGATAGCAACATTGCTGTATGCATGCTCTCAGCTCCTGGACACTTTCTGTGGGGGCTGCCCTTTGGTTCCCTCCATCGGCACACCGTACAATGTCTTTTTGGCATTACCACTGTTTCAAGTCAGTGTCACAATGCTTCATACCCCCATTGAGCCCTGAAGCAATATCA